ATTTACATTATTTTCATTATATCTTTCGCTAAAATCTGTACCATGCATATTTACCTTTTTTTAAGGCAAAGTATTGTTGTGCACTACCCCAGTACAAATACAATCATAGTAACGTTTAACACCAATCTAATGTCCCCACTGGAAGAGAAGAGCATTTTTTATCAACACCAGTCCTGCTCACACAATGAGAGCTTCAATGGAACCGTTAGGCTGAGTGAGTCTGTTTAAATGGCCCAGTCAAAGCCCAGATCAAAATTTAAATTAGAATATTTAGTAAAAGCTAAAAAAAACTGTTGTTCACAGATGCTCTCTATTCATTGTTAGTTAGGTTGAGCTGTTATGATTAAACTTCCTCGCAGAAAACCTCCAACTACAATCGAGACAAACATACTTGGGTTAAAAAAAAAACAGGCATCAAAAAAGTGAAACTTGTGTTGGAAACATGGCCTTCCACATCATAGCAAACGACAGAAAAGCAATAAAATATTGTCTGAGGGGTAAAAGAAGAAAAGATGAAGGAATTTTCCCCCATTAATAACCCAGACAGATACAGGGCTTCACTGGACTCAAATAATTCATTACTCTAGTATTATTTGTTCTACTAAATATTTCAAACAGTGCTGGAAATCTTTAAGTAGGTGGTTTATCTGCGTTTTCAGCATGTAAAGATTTCCATAATAATTTCAAAATATCATCTTTATTACAAGCTTATAGCTTTTATACTAGTTCCTGTTGTCAGCTGAGGACTGCTGGGGATGGATGAGGAGGACAGCGGCAGCCTTGGGTTGACGCCAGGCATTGTGTACCTGTCAGAGACGTGTGGAGCAGAGCTGAGAATGGAGCTCTCTACACTGCTGAGGATTACTGTTCAACAAGCTCATTATTTTAACATGATTGGGGTGAGGAATTATTTTATATTAATATGAATATTCATTCTATATACCTCAGTCTAACTTTACAGCAGAGAATAGAAAGTATGGAGGGTGTTCCATCTCACATGTCTCTTTCTCTACCCTGGTGTAACATTAGTGATCCACTGGTGTTGTTTTGACACAATAGAAATGCTTCTGAAAAGGTGAGAGAGCAATTAGTACATTGTTGAATGTTGGAGGGTGGAAGAGACAGGTCTGTCTATCTGTCCGTACAAGAAAAGGGGTGATGACAGGGTCTAACACTACAAATATCATCTCTACAGGTCTACATACAATGTTTCACACCGTCATAATAACCAGACACAAGCACATAGATTGTGGAGGGAGACAAAAAACAATGTAAGGAGACCTTTCTATGAAAAGGTATTTGCTCTGTTACAATAGATGCTTTCAATCCCCAATAATGCTAAATCTTGCAAAAATGGTCCAACCTCTTTGATATTTCCATTTTTTTATTGTCTAACAATCTACAGAATACGTCCACAATGTTGAAAATGTTGTGTTGTGAAAGAAATTACAAATATGATCAATTGAAAGAAAACATAATTGTTCATTCCCAACCAAAAGTCAGTATATTGTAGAAATAGGTATCCAACAGCAATGCTTGGGTTAAGTCTCCATGACCTTGTCAAATCTGGTCACATGGACCTTTTTTTCTCAGGACAAAACAAAGGTTCTTTGAGTTCGATGCTTTTTACTTGTGAAAAGCAATCTTGAAGTCTAATCAAGTTTTTTACTTGGACTGAGTTCTAGACATAGACTTTCCCCTTAAAGCTACAGTGTGTAATTTTCAGCGACATCTAACGTCCAGACTGCAGACCGCAGCAACATGAACATCTCCCCCC